TCTTTGGTCTGTTGATTTTTTTCGATGAAGATCCTACTTACACCATCGTTGCCGGCGGCTACCACGGTGGTGATGCCAGCCTTGAAGGCCTTTTCCACAGCGTCGTCGAAGGGCTGGTACTTGGCACCGGCTATTGCAGCTCAGCACATGCTGTCCGTTGCCGTTGCAGAAAAAGGGAATGAATACATACAAATGCTGAGGTTGATAACCGCCTTGTTTTTGCGGTTCGAGTCAGTGATGTTCCTGACGATCCAGTCGTACGTCTCAAGGATATAGTTGTATGTGCTCTGCTCTATCATCAGTATCATGGTCACAGTCGCCTCTTGTTAGGCAAAAACAGGGTCCGCGCGGGTGTGTACGCACAGAGCCAGTGTCAAAGGCCTTTGCGGACACGACGTTCGCCTTCTTAGCAACGCCGTACGTCTTTCCGGCAATGATACCCGCCACGTATGTACCGTGGCCAAACTCATCGGTGTGTGGTTTGTTCGGAATGGCGTTGTGGCCCAGAATGGCGCGTCCCTCGAACTCGATGTGGTTGACGTTAATGCCGGTATCGAGGACGTATGCCCACACGCCTTCTCCGGCCTTGTCGTCATACGAGTAGTCTACGAGTGTGCTGTGCAGCGGGACAGGCTTGCCCTTGCTGGACATGTAACCTAGACCCCAGCGCGCCTGTCGCTGCGTCACCGTCTTCGCGAGATAGACGTGTTGGTCCGGGTGCACAGATTTGACCTTTGCGTCTCGTTAATGAGCATTGTCATATCACGGTTAAGCAGATGTGGGTTTTGCAACTCACGTATGGGTTGCGGCTGAGATCTTCCACTGTTTTCTCGTCGAAACCGCCGGAGTACATGTTAAGATCGTGGATGTGGAAATGCTTCATGATACCCTCGGTCTCGACTCCGCTGGCACCAGCAGCAAAGCTGTCAAGGTTAGCCCGGTGCACGGAGCTGACCCATTTTTTGTGGTCCCTAATCTGCGCAGAGGTGAGGCCTTCCTTCAGTGTGACGATATATTGGCCTGGAACAACGTCGCTGGGTCCAGCGAGCAGTGGCTCAGGCTGTGGAGCGAGGTCACCCGCCACAAACGGGAGAAGAAGCAAGCCAAAGTTTAGGAGCTGCATGACGGGCATATATACAAAGGTAATACGTTAAGGGTATTCAGTGATAGCTGAATAAACGACTCTCGACACCGATCTCTTCTCTAGATATATATATATACATATATATACATATATATTATGTTATATAAGGAGATAAAGTACATCTGATGATCAGTGAATCGGTTAGTATCGCCGAACGCTCTTGTCGACTGACCGGACTCACACATGCCAGGATGGTTGACCCCAGAAACAATATTTGAACTTTTCGACGGGTACTCAACTGTTACCTAATGGGGAACTCTTCAGAGAACCGGATGCTGTCCGCTCCATAGCTTGCAAGCAAGCCGTGATATACTACACTGTCGGGGGTATTCATGGATATTAAGAGACGCGCCCGGCGTCCTTCCAGAACAAGGAATCGCCATCTACTATCTCTCTATCTTCTCTTCCTTTTACGAACTCTTGCATGGGAATGCGCTCCGGTTCGTTATCTCTGCCCGTTTCATCCCATCCAGAACTCGACAAACGAGGTGCCAACCCGCCAGATACCCTCACTAACCACCTTCTAACCTTCGTATTCCTCGAATAGCCTATCTCTCTTTCACATATCTTCTTTCACTGATTGCTCCAAAGGTGCAGCGACGTTGTGCTCGTTTCCCTCTTAGTTTTCCACGCTGGGGGAAGCGGCTCCTCGGGAAACTGGGGTTGGCGGCCTCAGATGATACTGTGTATCGGCCCCAGAGTGCCGTTGGCTAAGACAGGAAATCGGTGTGAGCAGGGTTAGGGGCAGTTCGACTCACGTATGGCAGCATGAAATGGCGATATCATTAACGTAATTTCCTATGGATGCGAGATTCCCTTCCCCAGATAGTGCATTCTGTCGTCGCCCAGCAGTTCACTAATAATCAGGTTCTTCCGCTCGACCGACGTAACTAAATAGCTAGTTAGTCATCCCTAGCAAGGGGCGCAATTCCCTGTTGCGAAGGCCTTTTGGCCAGTGAACTACTTATCAGAAGACGTCTGCCGTCCGGGAGGATATATAGAAGACAAGAGAGATCCTCATTTTTGTCAGTCCTCAGTCTCTCTCCCCCTTTCTCTCTCGGTCTCTGCCGTCCGACGTTGTGGTGTATGATGTTGCATGGTTCGGCCAATTCCCCCCCTAACCCCTACAT